TCCTTTACCTCGCTAAACCAGTAATAAGACTGGCAAAGAGGAAAGGTTGGTCATGAGGCTAGCAACCCCATCCTGTAAAAATAAACACCAGTGCTACCGAGACTTCAAGTCTATAGCTTGAAGCCCTATGTTCCACTAGGAACGTGAAGGAATAAAAAATAGAGCCTGAAAACTTAGTAGTATAATTTCATTTTGTTGATCAAGTATGTCAAATAGTAAGTTGTCGACATGGTGATGTGAAAAAGTATCGGCAAACTTCGATACGTTATAAACTTACCCACTGAGTAAATCAGCGGCATTTCGTCTAATTGTCAATGATGAGTCTCATGAGAATCTGTGTTAGCGTAACACAATACACAATACCATTAAATCTTAATACTGCTTCTTCTTTGACCATAAGCTGCTAACTGATATTTTTGTTTTTCGAAACTCAGACTTTATGCTGTTTTATGCTGTTTTTTTATTACTCATATTTCACACTTTGTCCCAGTTTACTGAATTGTAAGCATTTTTTGTAGAATGCGAATTTTAAGTGAACTGTTAATTTCGTGTTGTGAAACACATACGCATGTACATCAATATGCAAGTGACGCATACAAAGCTAGGCTTTTACTTATTTCTCAGCTTTTTATTTAGGTTTATATCTGGATTCGTGAGATTATTACGCTTCATCTTTACTTTTCAGTAGAATATTTCATATGATAAAGCCATTAAATAACGTCTGTATGCAAGTGATAGATAGCTACAGTTCTTATAAGATTAGTTACTGATGGAATGCAGTGAGCTGCTAATATACTATCGTCAGCTACAACAAGTACTTTCAGAGACCTACTTTGTGCTGAGAAACATGCCTAAATGACTGGGACAGAACCTCTCCCAAGGAAACCTAATATACAGTAAAAAAATCACTATTATCTACAGAATATTTAACTCATGATAGAGAAGCTTAGCAACTGTTCAGTCGAAATCCGGTTTCTAAATTCCTAGTCTACAACCATCGAGTATTTAATTATTCTTTGGCTAAACGACTTCCAGAAGTCTTGTTTGAAAAAAAGATAACCCTAGAATATAAAGATTAGAATTTCAAACGAAGCCATTACACATGATCTAAGTAACCACTGATGATTGGCTACACCATAAAGACCGGTTTGTATTGAAGCGAAAAATAATCTGATGTGAATTTTTTGTAATAAAGATCAAAACACCTGCTCATCTAATTCAGCTATGTCATAATTTATTCTTAGTGCGTCTGTGGCACAGCGGTAGAGTGCCCGCCGACCACCCATGTCGTCCGGGGTTCGATCCCCGACCAACGCACTTCTACACCACGCTAAACCATTAATAAGACTGGTACAGAGGGAAGGTTGGGCATGAGGCTAGCTACCCCACCCTGTAAAAAATAAACACCACTGCTACCGAGACTTCAAGCCTCTAGCTTGAAGCCCTATGTTTCACTGGGAACGTAAAGGAATAAAAAAGAATAATTCATTCTTAACCTGCCAACTTCTTTTTTCAACTAGGGATGCTATATTATTCTTGCTTAATGTAGTTTGGCGACTTGGTCTGTGCGCTACGCTATAAGCCATACCTCATTATATGATGGTTACCGAGGCTGAAGTATGTTAAATGAGATTGGAGCCAGGGTAATACTTCTGGCAGGTCTAGCTCCTAAGCTACTGTGCCACAGGTGTACGGTTGCTTGCCCCACTGTAATAAATTTCTAGATTCAAATGCACAGACCAATGTACTACTTTATTAAATATTGAAATTATGCTTTTGAAAAAATAAAATAGAAGTACTTACGAACCGTTTTTAAGTCAAGGAAATATTATTTTTGTCCAATGTGTTCTGCTTAATTTGTTTGATGACTTTACACAGACATATTGATAGACAGGTAGGCAAGGATGGCACATACCTTTATCTGTCAGTATTCGACAAAAATAATCCCCACTATTTTAATTTATTTCACTATCGAAATGCTAAATTAGAATTGAAACACAGAAAGGGATTAATAGAATTGACAGTTGTGTTTTTTTTTCTTTCTTTTCACTTTTCATCCTCTCATCACATCACATCCCTTTCGCCAATTTATTAAATGATGTTGTACAGGATGAACAAAAATAAATAAAATTCAATGTTGATAATATATATTTTTTTTCCTTTCCTTTCCTTACCATAACTGTCGACAGTGCATAAATATTTAAATGATTTGAAAATAAACTGCTAACATTCAAGTTTGTTGACTTATACTAAAAACAAGTGCAATATGCATTTATTGCATACTATGCAGAAAAAAAAATATTTCCCGCTGTGTTTTTCCACAGGAGGGAGTAGACAGCAGTTGGATAATGAATGATGTTGATTGTAGGATCTAGTATCATAACATTTTTGTTTGTACTAATTTATGAATGTGCGTCTGTATATTCATTAAGCCTCTCCAGATGTTATAGAATATTATATTATTACTGCAGAAAATAATTATTACACAACTTGTAATCCTATACACGTACATGAATAGAAAAATGTTATGTGTGTATGGTGGCTTTCTGAAATTACTTTATTACAATAATGATAGACTGGTAATTCAGTTTTGCAAACATGTGGAAGGGATTTGCGATTCACTCGTTAAAAATACAGAATCAATAAACTTTTGTATACGCATTTGTCTGTTTACATATAGATTTCATATATATATATATATAATTATACACAAAGTATGTGAAAGTTACTTTTTACAAAGTTATATAACATTTAAAAAAAAAAAAGGGTTTACTGATTCACTTATCAAACATCATTCATGTAAATTTAATTCAAGAATGGTTTTCATCATAAGTTTACACAAGCGGATTCAACATTAAACACGTTAAACATCGGACACTGAAACAACTTTTGATATGTTCATATCCAACAGCCACTAAAAATTCCCCAATAACAATCTGTGTTCTCAAGAAAAAGGGAACTAATTCTTTATATAATACAATCTAGACTCTAAATGTAATTTTCTTGTAACTTTCCCGGAAAATAATAGTGCGGTTTCTCACTAAAGGCTGACATTCTGTTCCGAGAAAAATTTATTTGCAGTTTAACTGCTTATTAAACGTGTTATAAATATAAAATAGTCTACATTACTCTGCTTTGCTAACGGGTATTACTAAGTATTCACAAAAGTAGGTGTTTTCATTAATAAAGCCTATCTGATAAATATTGCTAATTTTGAAATATTGAATTTACACTAAATGATTTATAGATTTTAAAATTTCTTAGTTTTGAATTTTATTTATGGTATATGGATGTCAGTGAACGCTTAAAAGTTTTCCTTAAACTTAAATTTGTATTCATAGTTTATACTGATGTTTGCTTGCATTTCAGTATCGCCTTTTACTATTATTGCAAAATTTTATAATTTTAGCTAATATTCATTTGTTTTTACGAGTTGATCACGGATTGATATCAGTTAGAGAACCATTGAAAACCAGGGAGTACTGGACAGCTACTGTTTCATCCTAGTTTTGGGAATCATCAGCAGTACGCACCCACTGGGGTTCGAACCCAGGACCTTCCGGTTACAAGGCAAGCTCGTATACCGTTCAGCCACTGGGACCCGATTCAAAGGCTAGTGCATGAATTCTAACTCCTACCAATTTGTGATTCCCAAACTAGGATGAAACAGCTGTTCAGTACTCCCTGGTTTTCAATGGTTCTCTAACTGATATCAATCCGTGGTCAAACTCGTAAAAATAAATTAAATGTCACAAACCTATGTGCTATTTAGCAATGAATGTTGTCTTACATCTATGGAAAATTTCAGTGTTCTTTAGAAACACTCTAACCAAGGCGACCTAACCAGTAGTCTTGTCTTTAAAAAATCCAACAGCAGTTGATATTAGATAATTTAGTGATTAGTTAACTAAGCATGTGTTTACTCGTCTTTAGCTTTGTATTCACTAAATCCATCACATGCAAAATAACGTATTTTAATGACTATTTTTGTGATTACCAATAAAGTTATTAACTTTAGTTCAAGCTTGCAGCAAAGAAGAATATATATATATATATAATATTCCAGAATAACCGTCATTAACAATATTGGTGTTCTTAAATACCATCAGTTTGTTAAGATGAATGAAATTACAGTTCAAGAAAGATGCATGAGTCATAATAAGCATAAAAATGTAATAGTACGTCGAATATCAAATAAGATTCAGGAAATTTTTACAACAGATTAAGGATCGTCAAAACCTTGATGGCCAGCGGAGTAAAGAAAGCGTCTGAACCGATTTCTTTTGGATACAATAAATTAGGTGTCTGAATGCAGATCACAACAACTTCAGCAATATGTAGCAGACAAACTCTTGAGGTAAAATTAAGATTAGTTGGTAAACGGTAGATGACTCTGAAGGCCTTGTTTACGTCAATTTTATGTTCTGTATCTACGAGATGAGAAAGTATAGAACAATGAATGTATGTTTGACTGGTTTTCAACACAGTTTTTGTAGTTCTACTGTTGACTTGATTTACAACCATACGGTAAGCGATGTTAAGATCAGATGCAGATTAAAAAAAATGAATCAAGCAATGAATCACTGAGTTAAGTGAGCAGTCAAACTACTCTAGTCTTTGATCTTTTTTAGTAGTCAGGTATTGAAAAATACAGTATGAGAGAATCCGGCTGGCAAATTTTGTGACGTGAGTAGAAGATGATAATCCAGTACTAAATTCACAATGAAAAAAACAACCCAAAGGTAAACATATTTCGAGGATATACATGTGAACACGTGCGTCGAGTACATATAAGTACATAGCGATAATGTTTTTAACTTATGACCTAGATCATTTGTTTTTCAAATGTCACCACTATGAATATTCTTTTTTTTGTAAAGTAATTACAGTCATACGTAAACCTACATACAAAAACATCAACAGTCCAGTTAGTAGGTACTGTACATTGATGTGGAATTCAAACAGGTTTTTACTTTACTTCTTCTTCTTCTTCTTTGTAGAATTCATTAAAGTTGGCGAATAATTATCCTGCAAACAGACGATCATTCATAAATTCGTCATCGTCACTGCCGTCAGCAACACTAGCACCACCACCACCACCAACAACAACAACAACAACAAAAATACGATCAGAGTCAAAATTATTCAATCATTCTATTTGTAATTACAACCAAACATATGGTACTGTTTCAACATCTCAGTTAAATCAACTGCATTCTCGTAAATGGACACGTTGAATTAGTGGTGGTTATATTTACGAAGTCATAATATTTGGGGAGATTCATTTTCAAACAAGCTTATCTTATCCTTTCCTCTGAATCTTTTCTGGTTATGCATCTTTTTTTCTTTTATCTTTTCATCCTTCCACTGTTAACTAACCTTGTTAACCCTTGTTTATATGACCTACTTTTGCTGGTGTATTATAATAATACCATGCATGCATGACACATGTCTAAGTGAATATTTTGTCGCACAAAAATTTAACTTTATTTTTATTCTACATTTACTACGAATCAACACATTGCTTCTTTGTTATTTTGTGAGCTACTTTATCTTCTAACCTCGTACTGTGTTGTGATTACTACGGCAGAGTTGTTAAATAGTGTGAAACCTTTCGTATATTTCCTTCCTATTTTACCTTCCTGGATAAGTCACCTCAGTGATTTATTCAAGTGTATGATACTGTTTACATGTGTATAGGCAATGCACACACACAAAAAGGCACACAGAATCCTGTAAATTCTTTTCTATAATCTCAGACAATGATTCCAATGTCTTTGTTTCGTGTTGAAAGAATTTCGTGATTTCTTTTTTATATACCTAGAATTGATATTATTTCTGTGTGAGCAATTGTGATTTGCAAAATAATTCTTTGTAAAATAATCCTAGAATGGGCTCGTAATATTGTTCTGTTCTATTTGAAACTGCGTTGACTTAATAATCAATGATATGATATTCATTCCCATCTGAAGAACAAAATCACTAATCGGATATTCATTTGGAGAGTTTATAAAGATATAATTGCTTAAAGCGCCTTGGTATTCGACAGTTATGTAACGGTTACTAGCTCTGTCAAGGAACTTAGTCTTAAGTTCCTATTGTGACGAAGACGCTCTGAACCGATAATTACTACGTGGTTGTCTCGATTTCAACTCCAAAACACCAGTACCTTTTTGAAAGTTATATTATTTGGCAATTAAAGTAAAGACAATTACAAGTCTATAAACAAATGTTTTATACAAAATTATAGCGTACTTTTATTCGTCTTCTTCGAACTTGTACACGATCGATCCATTCGCGCCTTCGAGTTGCCCGTCAATGGCTACCAAGGTCAATGAACCAACGTTCAATGTTCATATTCCTTGACAAGCTCGTTGCGTTATAATGTTATGAACAGGGGATGGTGGTCAGCAAATCCATGATTTTTAATTACATATACCCCTTGTTCTGTCGTGTTGCTGGACATAACTAATCCAATGTTATAGATTTTCTAAACATTGTAGTATGATTTAGATACATATGAAATTATCCCTGTAATTAGGTGTAAAGTAAAGGTGTTCTACGTATAGCCGTTTAGGTATTCGATGGTATAAGTTGCTGTGATTTGGACTTGAATATGCATTCACTACTACTTGATTGAATCCGGTTCTAAATATCTCTATGCAGCTGCTTTAAACGAATAAAAATCTCTGAATCAGTAGGTCAGGAACAAACTCCCCGCATATTTTATATGATACTTAGTGTCATGATGTTATGTTAACAATACATAATAATGAAGAAGGCGAACAGAATTCTTTACACTTACAAATATAACGTTTGCTTAACATGTAATAATGGGATATTCATCCTATTCCATTGAATGTATCACGACAGACTATTATAAATAAATTTGTCAGTGGTAATTCGGAGTCTTTTTACGGTAGATAAAAATAAGTGAACAGTGAGATGATGAGCACAAAGTTAGAAAACGGGTGTGTTGTATATATATATATATATATATATATATATATATATATAACAGTGTATAAAGGAATTAGAAAAGGTAAAAGTGCAGGCTGACAGCTGTTTCAGATGTTCACTGAATTAGGCATAAGCTCCTACAAGAAGAACAAATGAAATAGGAATTTACAGAGTTCTTTATGGAGTTTCATTTCATCGTCCCGACCAAACAGTCACTTGTGCATTTTAGATAAATAAAAACTCGAATTATTTGCCAACATTGATACCAATAACAATATTGTCGTAATGAACCGAAATCAGTTACAGAGATCACTGAAAATCTGAACATGGTTATCGATGATGGCCTAATATTACTAAGTTTTTGCAGGTACAAAATTATCAGATTAGCATAACACAGAAAAAATTCGTTGACCAGATATCGTAGACCCTCGAACTGTACGTTGTCAGTGATAAGTTATCATCCATCCCTATATTCTCTCAGAATGTTTATCTGGGAAACATTAGTAAGACGAATAATTTAAAGAAACTAGACTCATCTTAATTTGGAACTCTTTAGAAGTTCATATTCATAACCCTCTACCAGTTGTGCAATCCAAGACCTATAGATTATGACGATTGACCTTTGACCATTTAGCCACTGGGTTAGAACCCACTGGTGTGTAAATTCTAACTTCTCTCAGTTCGCGACATAGCATGACGAGATCTACACTGAAGCTAATCAAAATCCTGACAAAAATAGATGGGGCTGCTCAGCTAGGTGCCGCCTGCAAATATATTAAGCAAAATCACCAAAGGGACCTGTGTGGAATAACACTGGATCTCGTTGGCAGTGACGTGAAAGGACACCTGTACAAATATCATAGGGAAGTAGAAGTCGTGAGATGAGGAATGCCTGACTATGGATACCTAGGAGCAGATAGCTGAGAGACAGATAACAAAACAGAAATTGAACCGGCGCAGAGAAGACCAGCAAAAGGAGAAGCTGAGTACGACCTACAGAGTAAAGGAGGAGAGTCCTAGGAAGGAGATAACAGGCTTTTACGACATGGTGGCACCTGAAGCACCACATGTTATAGTAGAAAGAAGCGCCACAATAGTATATCAAGTAACTAGGTCTCTGTCCGGAAAGAGATCAAATCAACTTAAGCTAGTGAATAATGGTAAAGGAAATAGTGAAGAAAACCCACATATCAAAGAAGTGGAGGATTGGAAACACTGAGCTCGCTGCTTCAAAGGACGTCCGGATCGATAATCAACTACAAGCTATCCAGGAATACAGCTACCAGTGAACACTGACTCTCTGATCAAAGCAGAAGTCTTGAGGGCTGGGCAGGAAGAAGTAGGACTAGATAGGATTCCCCCAGAAGGACTGAAAACGGACCCAAAGACCTCAGTAGCCATGCTCATGTCATTAATGCAGGAGGTGTAGTAGGAAGGAAAGGTGCCTATCTGACAGCATGAAGAAAGACGATCGTATCAAACTTTCAAACTAGGGCGACTCGAGCCAATGCAAGAACCATGCTCTTATCCACTCCAATTAAAATTTTAAGGTATGTCATCCTTAAATGACTAAAACAGGCGCCATATGGAAAATACTGGCTTTAGGAAAAACTAACCATACATCGACCTAACAGCAACACTCTGCATTATTACTAAACAAAGCCTAGAACGGTAGTCAAATCTCAAAGCCAATCTAAGAAGATTTTTGGTAGCGTCGGCTGCGAAGCAGTCTGGAAACTGCTTCAACATTATGGAGTGCATTGTCACTGACATTTATGAGCCTTACTCAACAGCTATAAAATGACGCCGTACACCAAGTGACTTACATCGGGAAGTCTAACAAAGCGTTTGAGGTGAAAAAAAGAGTAAGACAAGACTGTCTACAATCACCTTTGATATTCCTGATTGTAGTCGACTATATCATGCACAAACTCAAAGATATACAAGCATAAACTGTCAAGTTATCAGAAGAGGCAGCGAATGCAGGATATCAGGCGAATATAGAAAGAGGACAAAGGCGATGAAGACACCTGACAAGCAGCAATTACTAACTACCACCAATGGAAGAAATGTAAAGGAAGTTATCCCCTTCAATTACCTGGAAGTAGCACTGTTTCAACTACAGGTAGCTTCATGGGGTGAGGATGTCGAAACCGGATCGAATCGGAATGAGAGAGGAAGTCAAGCATTCATTAATCTGAAATCAATGCGAAGAATCCCGTGTGCTCAGCATAATGATTACGACCTAGGTTTTCAATACTAGTATCAAATAAGTGCTTACATATGATTCAGAGATTTGGCGCACGCTTCATCGAAATCAGGCATCTATTATTCTGAAGTAAACATTTCCGACAGACTGCAAACTCCCATCGGTACCTGGCTTCGCTCAACACTGAGGATCAGGTGGTTAGAAGGCATAGGCAGTCAACCAACCAACAACTTATTGCATAAAAAATATGCAGGAGGAGATGAAGATGGAGTGAGGAGGAGTCTTTCAATTGACACCACATGTCAGGGGTTCGAATAGAACCCGAATGGAGAGGAATTAGTAGGGCGTTCTATGATGACGTGCAAAAGTCATGTGAAGGGAAGATGAAAGTTTATAGGCAGTAGTGAATTCAGGTGAAAGTGAAGACTGAGAATAGAATATAAAGGAGATGTTCTTCTGAATCCCTATTTCCACTCAAAACGCAAGAAAAAAATAATAACAGATAATAAATAGTTGTGTTTTGCATTTAATAGTGGTGAGTGGTGTTCCAAGCGACGTCTGCAGAGTGAAGAATCAGGAAAATAATCAGTGTACATCACTGTAATAACCTAATATTTGCAAACTATTCAGCTCGACTGAGTTTCATTGTTGCTGCCCTCCTAGGGTGTTTTCATACCTGTTTTACTATTCTTACTCGTAAGCTACTGATACAGCGATGCGAATGGTGTATTTCTCAGTCATTTAAGTAGCGAAAAAGAACTACAGAGTTTAGCACTTTTTGTATGTCTAAATCTCTTCATTAAATATATTATTTCTATATAACACAGAGTGATCAGTAATAAACATTACGCAATGTAGTCACATTACGAAACTGATATGAATTATAAACTCTGGTGTCGAACAATATTTTTTTCTACTGGCCAACAACAGTTCTTTATTATTTTCCTTTCAAACCCTCCTTCAGCTATTAAAGGGTCACTATACCTCAATAAATGAGAAATCTGATGGCTACAGTAAGTTGCTTTAAGGTTACATTTGCTAGAGAAAAGTAAAATGAATTGTGTTGCATAATCATAGCCATGTAGAGAACATGTTATTCTATAAGGCATATGAAGAGAGAGAGAGAGAAAGAGTTACGTATGCTCTGAAGAATGGCAGTCAATATTGTTTTCAGATTCCCACAAACCCGGACATTTTCCTTAATGGTCACAAACAGTTTAACTGGTTGGATCATATTACACATATCTAAACAGGACAATTTTGACAGCATTTTTTTTTTGGTATTTTATATTTTAAGTAAAAAACAGTGTTGAAGGAAAATTGGAGATCATATTACAACTGGAGTCCACGTTGTAGAAATATGTTCTTACAGGTAAAATCCACCTGGGGATTTATCACTAGAATTAACTTTAACATACATCAACGGTAATGACAGTTCATTCATTGTCTTGACTTTGTTGAATATGAGAAAGATATTGTAGGGTACAGAGAGAAATTATAGAATTATTTATCTTGAAAATACCTTCATGTAAGATGCATGGTAGAGGTTGGAGTGAAATGCTTATCTAAAACGACTAGACCCGTAAGCACAAAAGATAATGGAATATGTGTTCAAATTAACACACAAAGTAATTAAAATGAATCCTGTAATTTTTAATAACTGAAATATATATATTTGTGTGATGGCAATGAAGTAGTGAAGAAAACTTTTGGCATTTCATAAACTCTTGAGAGCCACTTCCTAGTTAACTATTTGAGTGGACTATCTTCAAGTAATGTGAAGTCATGGAGTTTAAAAGTAGTCAGACGTCAGTGACACTAAGTTGGGAAATATCATGACAATTATCTGTAACAACTGAGATAATTAGAACACAGTTAGTGATTTGTTTGACAAGATGAACGACATCGTGACAGACAACATAAAAGGTATACAGTGTTTATTATTTGCTAATATGAGCGGCTGGAAATTCTTTAAGTCAGTCAGTAAAACTCCTATGTCTACTTGAGATGAATTAAACAGTATTCAGTACAATCCTACAGGAGGTGAATTGCGAGCCTGAATAACTCAGTGGTAACTTCTCTACCTGCGTGTCGCAGATCCAAATCTCAGAAAGGACATGGTTTCCTTCAAGGTTGCAGATACGCCTTGCTGACGAGTGCCAACTAGTACGAAACCTAGGTGCAAGGCTTCCTGCCGATTGCCTCCAACCATCTAATATCAACAGATAGTTGTTTCTATTGTCTAAAGTTAGTTGTTTTACGGGGATTTATTTATCTTACTTCAAAAGGTCAAAATAATACAAATGCACACATGAATGAGAAATGTATGTTGTATGACAACTATATATTCACTCTTGACTCATGCCACACATATATAGAACTCTAAAAGGAAACTGCAATGAAATCTGAAGATGAATATCATGAAGTTGTGTCATCCTCATCTTAGATTGTGAACTTTTCAATGAATGTTTAGTAAATTCATTCACACTGATTCGGTTAGTGTTGGCAAGAATAATTGTATTATGTCAGTATGTCAGAACCCTTGTGGGGTTATCTCTTCATGACTATGAGTTCACTTCTCGGTAGTGCTTGCGGACAAGAGGTGAACAGTATCCTATTAGAACGATATCATTTGAATTTACGTGAACTTCAAAAGTGGAAGTGTTCATACTATTTTTTTCGGGAAATGAGAAACGGAACGTTATAATACTTGAGTACCAAATACTGACAAATGTGAAGAAAGCGGTCTTTTTAAGTCAGTAATTTAATGCATAACACTATGTTTTAAAGCCATATTCTGAAGATTTAGTTCTCAGGACTATCACTTCTCAATGAAGTCCAAAGATATTCAATTAAAAAAGACTAGAAGTGTGCTATGAATCTCATAAAAACAGTTATGTCGGGCAGGAAAAGTCGACCAGGGTTTTCATGATGATTTATCAGTGCAAAACTAACATGTATGCGTTGAGTATTCAACAGATAGTGCTCATAATAGGGGGAAATAAGAAGTGTTTCTTTGCTGAACAAAGGAGCTGTGTTTTGTGTGTGTGTGAATAAATGGGCATATTTCGTGAAATACTGCTTAACTGAAACTCCATATGATCCATTCTGAACTAAAATACAGACAAATATGAATCGTTTTTGAATAAATGGAAATATTCAAGTATTGGTTTTTGTAGGGATTCTGTTTGATTCGTTGGAGGATTTCATTATGAGCTGACATCAGTTACAAAACTATTGGAAAACCTTGGAATACTGGGCAGCTGATTCGTCCTGGTTTGGGACTCTTCAGCAGTAAGCACACACCTCCAGAGTTCGAACCGCGGTGGATGCGTAGTGATGAAGAGTCCCAAGTTAGGATGAAGCAGCTGTCCAGTATTCCAAGGCTTTCTAATGGTTCTCTAACTGATGTCAGTTCATGATGAAATCTTCCAACCACGTGTGTTGGTGGTACATTGGTTAGGACTCTCGCCGACCATGCACATGGCCCGGGGTTCGATTCCCTACCGACCCACACCTGATATCAATTGGTCACCTTGCAAAATTTGGGCTACCGATATCACATGCTGAAAATTCCATGCTTGTATCAAAAGCACTGTATAGAATCAAGCTATAATAAAAAAAAGAAATATATGGAGATGATGCAATAGAACTTCTTGATCAGTCCTACAGTAAATAAATTTGAATACATAATATTGTGGAAGCTTTCTACATAAAAAGTATTAGTTCCTACTACTGATCTAAAACACGTACAAAATAAAAAATATACTTGGCTTATTAATATTGACGCACAAATTAATTTTGTAAAACCACTACTTTTTTATTGGCTCTTGCAATTTATTTCCTACACACAGACTACAACTACTTTGATTTAAGCAAATTCTGCTGTCATTTACACACATTTTAATTATATTTTTGCTCTCTCTTCCGATGAATGAAAGTTAGGGGTAGAGATTTTCTGCATCTGATTAAGCTGAATAAGACATTTCATTTCAGTTCCATTGCTGAAATTGCCCAATCATAAAACTCCTACCAGAGGAGTTTTATGATTGGCTAGTTTCACCGCCTTTTAATTTTATCAGTCAAATATTAGTTATGACGATTTATGTTGATTGTTTCCATATTCATTTTACATCATAGTTGTATTATGCGAATGACTTCTGGATTAATAAATCATACATCTAATAATGTTAACGCCAATAATAGTAACAACGGTAGTTTTATATCCACAAGCACTCCTCTAATTACACCTAATGGTAAAAGAAGAGGCCGTAAACCGGGTTTGAATAGTACAGTGGCACAAAGAAGTGCAGCAAATGCTAGAGAGAGGTCGAGGATGCGTGTTTTATCTGGTGCATTCGTTGAGTTGAAAGGTGCACTACCATGGGTTCCAAAGGATACAAAGCTTTCTAAATTGGACACCTTGAAATTAGCTGCTGGTTATATTGCTTACTTAAGACGAATATTGGACACTTCAGAATCGTCAACAACGAATTCATCCCCTCCACCATCAGTACCAAATATAGAGACAGTAGAAGAGTCTGGACTTATAAGAAATGCTTCTGCACTGAAATTACTTCATAATGAAGCCTGCTTCCAGTTTACTTCAAAAGTATGTGAAAATACCCTACCTGAAACTATAAAACTGTTCAACCTTGTTACAAACGGTAATAATAACAACTTGAAAAAACCACGTGTGGAAGAACATTCAAAATACGGAGATAAAAATGAAAGAAGTGAAGGAGAGGGGGAAGGAAGAAATGGAGAATCATCAAATCAAGTACATTGTCAACGTCAACAATATACTCACTCCGATCATTGTACACCTTCTTATCCCCAAAGAAGTCACTTTCCTAATGAGCCTTACCGCCAATCTCAACCTCATCACCCGTATACGATGGATAGAATCAACTTCAGACAGAGCACAATATCAGCATTATCTCCTCTATCTTTACCACCACCGTCTCAGCTACCGATATCTTTAACGCAGCCTACAACAGATATACAGTTCCCTATCAATAGATCACTCAATGATTGTTGCATTAATCCTGAAAACAATAATGACACTATTTACTATGTGGGATGTGTGAATTCTGGTGCCTTAACTACGAAAGATAACACCACTGTTGTTTATCCTGAATTATATTCAAATCAATACGGATTCAGTGCATCACTTTCCTGTTATTTGGATAATTTCTATGTAAGTTTGTAATGTACTTTTCATTCTGACGAATTTATTTATGAAAATGTTTGTGTGTGTGAGTTAAATTATTCTTCTTGATTGATTAGCAATAGATGTTGAGCTTAAGGTCTTCCTGTTAGAGTCTTATGATCACTACACTGTACTATAACTTTCGGGATTCGTTATATGCTGCCTACTGTTGCTGTATCTCGAAAGAGATATTGTTTACCTTCATGAGGTTAACAAATGTATCGTTCACTGCCTGTTCTGGGCACATTGTTCCTGAATTATCTTATCTGTTGTTAATTAAACACTATATTCGCATTACTATTACTAATATTATTATCCAAGTGCTTTTTTATAGAATCATTATTTTTATTCAAGATGATAAGGTATAATAATAAGCATTATGTCACCCCATTATTCAGAAGAAAGTGAATAAAGCGGAAATCTGTTAAATTAAATATTTCTAAACACTATATAATAATAATAATACCGGGACAATGAACTGAAATCAGTCAGATACAGAACCCCTTAAAGTGAAATTTCATTTGTAAGTTGTTACAGTGGGGCATGTCATTGTCCATGATGGAATGTCACTCAATGACTTTAGCTGTAGGAGTGACTGAATCGAAATGTATTTTTAAGTTTAAGGCAATTTATGAAACATGATCACTATATGCCAGGGGTGTCAGAAACAGTCCACTTACACTAGTGATTGTTTTAATGACCCAGGACTTAGTTTCAGAATATTCCTTTGTTTATTTCTTCTCTGAAGTAGTTGATTACTAAACAATGATTTATGGGCACTAATATTCATTTCGCGACTGTGCGTCGGTGGCACAGCGGTTATGACTCTCGCCGATCATGCACATGGTTCGGGGTTCGATCCCCTGCCGACGCACACTTGATATCTACGGTCGGCCTGCAAAATTTGGGCTACCGATATCCATGCTGAAAAATCCATACCTGTACCAAAAAATACGGCGTGGAGTCAAGCTGTAATCAAAAAGTAAAATAAAATAAAAAAAGATATTACTAATCTTAAAAGAAATTAGTTGTAGTGTGTCCAGGTTAATTCAAGTATTATTTTTTATGTCGCCTGGTTTACTTTAAGAGGCGAACGCCATTCACTAGATGACCTTTTATCAAATAATCAGTGAATCAGTAAGACTTGACTAAGATGAAAATATAATTAAATACGAATGAATTCAGATTTCCCAGTCACCTGATAAACAAAGTCTATATTTTATAATCGAAGCAAAACGTGAATTCAAGTCACAAACTGGATTTGGATTTTCACTGACTAAAATACCTTTCCGGTAACATATATGATTTTGGTTTAAACTGATTTCTAGACAGATCTGTAACAGTAGAGTTTGTCAATTAGGGCTATCCTCGATTGTTGATGACAACATCTGAATGTGATAGGATCAGAATTTTTATGCAGTTCACCCATTTTTGATGCATTCGTCAGTAAAGTGTAATCATATAAATATAAGTGGAATTTTATTAGTTTGAGAAATGTGAATCATTATCACTTAGACTGACATTCGAAGGTTTCCCCGCGAAGTTACTGCAGTCTTCCATGGTTCCATTCAAGTCTTGCTAGATAAAAAGTTGATGGACACCAGTAACTGATAACATTTCAGCCAATAGGTAATAATGTATTCTATCAATTAAAATGTATAGTTTAAACACCGTGTAATATTACTTAACATTATTAAGGTTTTATACTAGGTGCTAACCTGTGAGTGAGGTTTTAAGGTTACAGATAAGCATAAGGGAAGACGAAACTTAAACGCATTACTTCCTATTCACTAACCTAAACCTTCTGTTATAAGTATAGTTAGTTATTCAGTTAAGCTGTCATGTTGAATTTTCGTTATTGTCAGAACTATGCAAGCATTGAAGTCTGTCATCTGACAATGACATCACCGATTACTGAATTGAAGAGTTTTAATTCAGTGTAAATAAGTGATACGTAAACATTATCTATTATTCAAGTTTAGAAAACAAAAACAATTTGTAGGTTGATTTAAACACTTTTAAAGTAGTGGGTTTATTTAGGGCTGTTGCACTCGAAGACAATTTTCAAAATGTAGAATGTTCATCACTTTGGAAACAGTCGAAACGCAAATGCTTTTCAATTAAAAAAAAGGCTATTATTTGATGAGACTGAAAATCGGTGGTGAGAAGACTTTCAGTGAACCTTCGATGGAATCGATCATTTTCTTTAGAGGAGTAAGTATATAGTCTGAAAGGAAAAGTTTATGGACAAAAATCATCGCTTCCATATCAGCCACATAGATGTAGTACACACTGATACAGCGTTAATAACTGAATGACATTTCGACAACAATTTATTGTTCATAATTATATTAATATACTAACACAGTTTTCCCGCTTACTTTATATAGCTCTCTCTCTCTCACGCCTGTTTTTTATCAGAGTCTCCGTATATCGATATAAGTGTTGAGTTATTTCGATTGCATATATTTGGTGTTGTTTCTCTGGCAAAACAACAACAACGCATCTAAGCTTTTTCAGTCAAACATTTAGTTATTCATGGCGCTACACAATTAGGCTTATATTATTTATTTCATATATATGGTCCCTTATCTTACTTAATAATGCTGTACAGCATATTTTTGAAAGCTACTTAATTGGCCTCTTAATAATCTTGATTAGTGGTAGTGTGAATTGAAATTGATCAATGCAGATTAAGAAGTAAACAAGAAATACTATCAAACCGTTCACATAATTAATATTTATATAAAATGTAGTGAATGTTATCAGTTAACATGTTTTAGCTAGAAAGATGCTCGTCTTTTTACCTGATATCCATCTCATGGGCAAAGGAAAAAATGTGTGAATTAAATCAGATAATATGTTTGATGAATGAAGGCCTAACTTACATATTGATTACAAACTGTCATTTACGGTTACATGGAACCTAGAAATTGGAATATATTAGACGGTTAGAGGCAATCGGCAGGAAGCCTTGCACCTAGATTTCGTGCTAGTTGGTACTCGTCAGCAAGGCGTATCTGCAACCTTGAAGGAACTCATGTCCCTTCTGAGATTCGAAACTGCGTCACCCAGTGCTGCAGTCAGAAACGTTACCACTGAGCTGTCCGCGCTCGCAATTGACCTCCTGTAGCACTGCAGTTACTAGCGTCTAGTCAAAGTATCCACTACGGTGCTACAGGAGGTCAATTGCGAGCGCGGACAGCTCAGTGGTAACGTCTCTGACTGCAGCACTGGGTGACGCGGTTTCGAATCTCAGAAGGGACATGAGTTCCTTCAAGGTTGCAGATACGCCTTGCTGACGAGTACCAACTAGCACGAAACCTAGGTGCAAGGCTTCCTGCCGATTGCCTCCAGTCATCTAATATCATCAAATCAATGTGCACCGTGATGGCGAGCTACCTAGAATGGTGGCCACATTGCAAACCTGACTGATAGAATTCAGTCTGCACCGAAGAAAGGACTAGACACATCACATTAGTTACTAGTGTCCAATCAAAGAAATTTGAATTTCAGCCCTTTGTAACAATGTGAAAGATATTGTCACTTAGTTCTCTAATCTGCAACAAACCAGAAGTAAGCCTAGTTTCAATACACATTCTAGATTTCAGTTACCTTACTTTGTCATGTATTTAGTTTTAAGCACTGGATGAAGCCGACAGATAGACAAAATATTTCCAGAGAATTTCAAATAGAATTGACTGATTCAAAAGTTTTTTATTGATATACTAGTTACCAATGAAAGTGTCTAATTACATGGTAATTTTTAGTCCAAGATTTCGGTTTTCAAGATCAGAAAAAGTGTAATCTTTCAAAGGATTCTTGCCTTGTTGACACATGTATCCACGTGTTTAAATTTTCCCCATGCATAAAATAACTCCTTGAATATGAATTGGTAACTATTTTATGTTTAGCCTTGAATATTGTCGCTGCTATGTTTCTGGAAACTCCAGCAAATATTAGTTATTCTGTCTAATGGTTATTTTTATAGGATCTTAGAATTATAACTCACCTAATGCGTCTGGTATGTAACGCGATATTGAAGTGTTGCTGTCATCCTATAATTGAAAGCCTAGATTTCTTGGGAATTTTTTCAAGAAGATAAGTGTGAAATAGTCCTCTTGTTTTCCATGCATCTGCTTACATATTATAAATGTATTTTTAGTGTATCATGTGACGCTATCTATTCAGTTTTTTCTGTCCCAATGAGCGTTAGAGTTATTTGATATAACTAGTTTTGTACCAGATTGTATGTTACTGAGTACGGCTTTAACCTGTTGACTAGTTTTCAGTTTATGTCTTGATTGTTTGAAACACTACTTGGGTGAACAAATGTTTCCCCTTAGGCTTATCGTCTGCAACTACAGCGTAAGTCTTCCGTCAAATGTCCTAGCCGACGTTTGATAACAAACTTTTTCCTATTGCCTTTTAAACACAGTCCCTAAGATCCAAGATTTTTTCTATTGACATATTGTCTAATGATTACTATTTACAAATTATCGGATAGCAGTCAGTAGAGACTGAATTAATAAATCTCTGTCAAGGTTTACTACTTATTTAGATGACGACCAGCTCTCACATTTGAAAGGGAAGAGTAACTTCATGTTTTACTGTATGCTTCGAGTTTATGTGGACTTGAAGACCTTTTTTGTTTGTTTGACCAAACTGTTTAGATAACATGTGACAAATGGTATTAGTGTTTATCTAAAAACTAGTTTTGACATTGAGAAGAAAGAATTCCCCCCCCATTGTCACTTTTTCAGCAACCTAATTCTAGGTTTCAGTTTTAACTTCAAACTGAAATTTCAACTTCAAGAAATCGAAGTTGGTGTTATTGGTTAGCATTAAGGGGATAAACTTGATACTTACTGTAACTAGATGTGACTTTCTCATTCTTCACTCCCTGAATTTCAGTTTCAGTGCACAAAAGGGGATCAGTTAGTCGACAGAATAATTTGTGGAATGAGACCACTAGAAGAAATCTAGAAATCACTATATTTCGCACAGAATAAATTTCAGTACATAAGTACTAGACTTTTGCCCACCTAATTCACACGATAAAGTGGTACAGTGTCAATATTATTGTTCTAATGCTTTTGGTTAGCATTCAAGATGATTTCCAAAAAAGCCTCTTAAATTTCTTTGAAGATACATTTTGGTAGTAATAGTTCTTATTGTTTTGTAGAAAGAGGTAGTTTGGTGGAAAAAACGTAGGAACTACATAAAGTTATTTTAGCCATACCTACATCTGTGAACATACGATTATTTGCTGATCAGAGTAGTGTTTATCTTACCCAATATTTATGAAGGTACATCTACAGAAAGGGGCAAGCAAAGCCTAATAATTGGAAAGCGTCAGATATCGGATATTACTTAAAAAACATCACAGATGTTTAGATCCTTGCTTTGGGATTAAAAATAATGAAAAGTGATAACATATATTAGTAGTCACATTGAATGTTTGGTGTTACTAATAGAATAGCTGCTGACTAAATTACGAACAGAATCAGTTCACTTCCTATGTAATTGCACTAAAGACGATGGCTAGTATATATCATTAAGATTTCTAATACGGACAAATTCAGGTTAGCATACATTCCAACTGGACACCCCTTACACGACTGGTAAATATTTATATGTACCGATAAGTCGATGAATACGAAGTTATGCTGCCCTGAGTGCTGAGCAAATCTTATCTGTCTAATTCGCAACATAATTTTCCAAAACTGACGAAGTCTTTCAGTGCTCCAGCCTTCAAATTATAGGGTCATAAAACACCACATTAAAAAGAAAATTACTGTTAGACACTCTGAAAGTGAAACAGTTATCCTTAAAATAATTACAGAATAGATATATGCAAAATTCACCTTATAGCATAAGCGTCGTAAAACCGAGGTAATGAGTTCTGTGACAGGTCATTATAATCATAGCAAATATTTAAGTTAGACTGCTCTAGGAATCTTTTCCTTTTCATTCTAGGGTTCTCCAGGCTTGCATTTGCAGGATGGTTCTAAAGATTTCACTAACTGCCCACTATTTTTAGGTCTACTCTGTTCACATAATTTTAATGGTATGATTTTCTCATTTGAGTCATTTTACGTACATCTTTTGAGAGTCTTGCTAATTATCAGTGAATTTCCATTTATCATACGCTGAAAGACCTGTAAACTGACATGAAACAAACTGAGCGGTTCGGTTAGACTAAACACTGAAGCAATAACTGATAAAATATGATAACAAAAACTGGCACAACGACTGAATCATACCGAGAAACAAATAACCGACTAAGCTTCAAAATGGAACTTTGTACAGAAGTGCAGCAGCTTAATCTGCCACACTACATGTCTCATACAAAGAGAAAAGAGCGCAACCAAAAACTCAAAATAATTAAAATGATCAGAAATGTTCAGAAGAAATAATAGTAACATGGAAAAATATGAGGGTTTAATGCATTACAGACAGTGAATGCTTCTGTGTCATTGAGCCATATCGCAAACAGTCTCCATCCATTGGATCTTAGCATCCCGACGTCCCAAAGCAGGCACTCTACACCTTCCTGTATGTCTCAAACCATCTGTCAAGGACTAATGCCAAATTTCTATTTGACCACCCCTAACTTCCTTCTGACCTAATTCTATGTTAGCTGACATTAATCGTTGAGGAAGGCAGTGGCTCAGCATGCGCAACATGTGTCTGTGCCGTCTCAGTTCATGTAGCTTCACAACCTTATAGATCGATTTCCCTTCCCTACCTAGCACTCTATGCCTAATCTCAATATTACTTACCATATCATAATAACAATTTGCTTTGTTCCAAAACAGTACTAATGGTACTGTGTGGAATTTTCAGCATTTTGCATCTAATTTTATCGAATAACATTAAAACAATTATAAAAATAATATTACAGGATTATTAATGGCAGTTCTTATTTGGTATTTATTGTGACAGTGAAGTCATAAATGTACAAGGAAAACTGTAAATAATAATAGTAATAATAATAATGTTAGTAGCTAAGATTGTCAGTTAGTTGAGGAAGTGTCACCATAGATTACAAATAGGAGATAATAAAAGAGCCGATTATTTTGCTAACAACATAGTAATGCGTAGGTTTCCCGCCTAACACTCTCTCTACATCATAGAACACGGGCTATGAGATAGAGACAGTACAATGCCACTTACCACGGGGGATTGAACGCAAATATCTGCGGTTAAAAACAGATAGTTTTTTTCTTCATATTTTCCAATTTCAATGGCCATTTCTCACAGCCATAAAGAAGGATGCAACGAACTGCTGTGCGATACACACGGTCTTTAATCGATAGCCGGATATCACACCTGCGCCAGAGATGACGTAAGTTGACAAATGTGACATGAGCCTTTTGTATCCATGCTGAAATTCCTTCAGCAATCAGTTTATTATGGATGATGCAAATTCCGGAAAAGGCGGAGTGGTCGACATGTTCAAATACTTCTCTATCTAACACTAAACTAAGAGTCGATGCATCATCTTACATTTGACAGGAGGGAGGAATCGAATGTCAAACATTCCAAGATTTCTACGTTTGGTGTTCAGAAGACTTCATTTCTCAGTGCCTTTACCTAGGAAGACAACGTCGTCTTCACACTCTAAGTTAACGTGATTGTTCCATGGTTAATCCTTAAGTCAATAAAGACAGTTAGGGTCATCTCTATTAGTATATCTGTGATGATAAATTAGATAAAAATGGGAATAGTTGGCGAGAAACAAATAAAGATAAGTTATGTTACATTCTTCTCGATCAACTTACAGGTAGGTGTTTGTCACCTAACTAAAAGAGATGATATTCGGTTGAATATTATTTGAGTGGAAGAAAATGAATTCGAATTCCTGATGAACATAAATGAAGTCAACTTCTCGATTCAACAAAATATAGTTTTATTGGCTAGACAAATATCCAATTGTTCTTAGAGTAATCAGCTGAATACTGCTTACTTGTGAATACTTTATTGATCATTACTTATTCATACATATGCTTGCAGTACATTGTCTTTTATTTGCAACGCTGAATAGTTAACCTATGAAACTTTTGGTAGTGTTTGAAACTTTAATCTCCTCATGCATATATATAATAATTTGACTGAACTTTCATTTTTCATTCAGGGAAAAGACCATTCTGCTATTACAAACGAGACAATTTACTTCAACGATTCCGATTCATTAGATGACAATGGAATACACTCACTAGCTCATAATACAAACGAAAAAAGCCGTGAAGGGATCAACTTATTAAAGCTAAAAAATAATTTCTACCCGAAATTAACACATCTAATTAAACCGCCAGTTGAATTGCTAACATCCGATGCAAATGTATCAAACGAAATTTTGTCAACGTCGAAGACAATGGGAGAAAATGATTCATACTTTCATACAATGTACACAGAATATCAGAAGACTGATTTAGACTTATCTCTGTCATCATCGTCATCAATTGAAACATCCGCATTAGAAATTAACGATGAATGTATGTTCACAGTGAAATCAAATCCTCATCCAACAAACCTCCATTTAAGCAGAAAAATAAATAATGAAATTTCATAGTGCCATCCATTCACCCAATTATTAATGTAAACATTGTTAAAAACTGAAAAGTTATGTACAGATTAAATTTATTTAACTTAGAATTAATTATACTTGGTTTTTACTTGTCAACAATAAATGAAGCTTGGAAATATAGTTATACAGAAACGTCTGGGTTAATAGAAAGCCAAGAAGAAGTTTCGTGAAATTAAGTCACAAATACTATCCGTAAAAAGTGGAATGAAATAAATTGAAACAGGATAATACCGGGAGATAAAGGAATTGGTCAGAGGGAAAAAACAGAAGAAAAATACAACTAAAAAATAAAAACACGAAAAATGAAGAAAATCATTGAAATAAACAACCTTGAACAGCAAAGTGATTACAAAGTAGATATTATCTGCTTTCTCGATTTATTTCTGAAATCAATAGATGCTTTCAACAAGACGTGTACTACTAGTGAACATGTTAGTTAAAAGCCCCATGTATCCGTGGGATACATATACCATAAACTGTATAGTTCGCAAATTAGTAATTGCAGATCATGTGTTACCATTTTTATAGGCTGCTAGCGTGAATTAATCTGTTCTGAACTAATTTCATTGTGATCTGAGTTATTATTTTGTAGTCTGCTGACAACCTTGCCTCTAGGCAAGCTAAACAATTGTCCGGTGTTTGCGTTACTTGAGTAAGACTGGTGACCGTATTACCTTTTCAGGCGTCTCCAACTGATTATATCTGTTAGTATTGTTTTGACTGCAGCAAATAAGCTAATTTTGCAAAGGGATTATTTATTGGTAACTCGATATACGTATGCTGATGAAATACTTGTACCATATATTTAATCACAATTCGCTCCTGTCTTTCTTCTTGTACTACTTTTTTATTCCCTCATGTGACCTTTTGTCTTCCTTTCATACTGAGCATTTATTTTCATAAACTTAGTTTATTTCTTCTCATCATCATTGAATCTCTCTCCACTAGTTGATAGTATTACACATGACACAATTATTTATATCTGTGTCTCTATATTAGTAACATATCTTGCCAGTTCCAAAAGCCATATTCGTCCTTCCGTCAATTAATTTCAAGCGCAGCCGCTCGGACCTTCTTGGTGTTACCTACTCTTGTTCTTGTCTTGCTACAAGCTTCCTTATCCAACTATATCCATCTCTTGAGTTGGTTGGCATCAACAAGTTTCTGTTTGTCTTGCCTTTTGATGGTATAAACGTGGTCACGTCTCTTGGTGACAGTGTATGGACCTTCCCACCTTGGAAGGAGTTTCCGTGAGCCAAGCCCGCATCCAACCGTGTACTTCCATTCTCTACACTCTACTTGATCTTTGACGTTAAACATTACGCATTTCTTCTTATCTCTCTTTTCGAATTTTGCAGCCTTCATCTTCTGTTTTTACTTTACATTCATGACGGCTTCTTTCATTCCCTTCTCAATCTCATCGTATTCCACTCATGGCGAAGGGGCCAGGTTGTGCTGTGTATTGTTAGTCGTGGTTTCCTCCCATACTTCAACTGAGATGGTGACTTTTTCGTTGTTTCTTGGGTGGAAGCACGATGTTCTAGTAGAATCAATAAAAGTTCTGTCTCCCAGTCACCTTCCTCCGAGGCCAGCCATTTCTTTACTGTACAGCTATTTCTCTCTGCCATAGCATCCCTTTGCGGATGAAATGGTGTTGTTTGGGTCTCTTCCTCCCCACTGTTGCAAACGGGAACTGAATTCTTCTCTTTCAGAACAAGAGCCCTGATCTGTCAATATCGTCTTTGGCACACCCGGGTCTACAGCTGCATGTCGAAGCACTGAGTCAGTCACAGATTTCGCAAATTAATACGGGATCGCGACGGCACTTACTAGTCGTGTAGCTTCTTCCGTCATCCCCAGCATGTATTGATTGTTACTGGATGTCTGTGGATATGGTCCTGTGACAGTTACGGACCACAATTCACCTAGTACCGTAACTTTAATCGACTGTAAAGACGGTTATATGTTCCGATCTCCTTTCTTCAGCTAATACTCAGACATTCCAGCATATATTCTGCCACATCTGTCAGTAAACGCCTTGTCTCAAGTGACCGGTCGTCCTGGCTACCTCTTTATGTGCTAGCTGGTGGCATTCTTCTATCATCTCATAGCTCAGGGACTGAGGCAGTACCACCAACTAGCTCCCATTGTTCTATCACCAAGTCAAAATTCTGTAGGCGTTCAGTTTTAATCGTTCCTTCCTCCCTAGTAGTATGGTTGGCTCTTCATTCACTGTAGGTCGATTTACTTCTGATCCATTAGTGATCATCTGTATCACTGCATTCAGGGTAGGATTCGATCTTTGACTGCAGGTGAGTTTTATCAGATCTTGTCCGAATGCGTGTATTCCGTACGCAATTTCCTACAAATCGGCTTCATCTTCCCGTCTACATGAAAATTCTGCCAACAAAGTTCCTTCCCCTGGAAACTGAGAGGTCGTGAATGCGTACTCCTGTAGGCGCGAAATCCATCGGGATAATTTCCCACCTGGATCACTTGCTTTCTTTAATCGCTGTAGTGGCTTGTGATCAATTTCAGCGTGGAACCGTTGATAGAGTAGATAAGGTCTCAATACGTCTAATCCCCACACTAATATGAAACATTCTTTTTCGACCGCTGAATAATTCTCCTCCGTATGTGTTAGAACATGACTGGGGTACTCGACATCCCCTTTATTCTGTCTCAGTGCTGCGCTGATTTTGTAGTCTCTCGTATCTGTGGACATCGTACACTGTTTCCCAGGTACAGTCAATTTTACCATCATTTTCTGCTGATCTAAAAACTGTTTAAAAGGGTTAAATATCTTCGGCAAATCTTCCTACCAAACAAACTGAGTCACCTAATAGTCTATACAAGGGGCCCCTATCTCGTTGTTTTTCACAAATTGACTGTAAAACGCTGCTCTCTTAAAGAACTGTTTTAGTTTCCCGTTTGAATTTGTGTCATTATTGCCAAGATTTTCTCAGTCAGAAGTTATATCTCACCGTTTCCTATTTTATATGCCAGGAGTGTCTTGTTACAGGATTTCATTATGAGCTGACGTCAGTTAGAGAACCGTTGGAAAACCAGCTGGGAGTATTGGACAGCTGCTTCGTCCCACTAGTTTTGGGGCTCTTCGGCGATACGCACACACCACTGCGCCAGGGTTCGAGCTCAGGACCTTCTGGTTACAAAGTGAGCTAGCTCGTAGACCAACAAGCCACTGGGACCCGATCCAATGGCTAGTCCATGAATTCCAACTTCCGCCAATTTGCGACATAGTGCGACCACGAGCCAATGTCTTCGGTGAGTATTTGTCCTCACACCCGACCTCCTGTACCCTACTGGTCATGACTTCCCACTAGAACTCCAGGTAACTACCTACCTGAATAGAACCTGCGGCTACTGAGCATTTCATTGATATCTAAATGAGGACAAATACTCACCGAAGACATTGGCTAGTGGTCGCACTATGTCGTGAATTGGCAGAAGTCGGAATTCATAGACTAGCAATTGGATCGCGTCCCAGTGACTTAATAGTCTACGAGCTAGCTCACCTTGTAACCAGAAGGTCCTGGGTTCGAACCCTGGCGCGGTTGTGTATGCGTACTATTGAAGAGTCCCAAACCAGTGGAACGAAGCAGCCATCCAGTACTCCCAGCCGGTTTTTCAATGGTTCTGTAACCGATGTCAGCTAATGATGAAATCTCGTAACCAACCAATCAAATCCCTACAAACCAATACTTGAAATCCTTTTTTCTGTGTGAGGTTTCTCTTGTTAATACGTAGTGCAAACTGTTCAACTAGTCTAAACATGGCTTCGATATGTTCCATATGGTCACTTTCAGTTTGACTGTATATGACGAGATCATCATTGTACAATTCCACGTTCTTTAAGTCTTTAAGTAACAACATCATTAGTCGTCTGAATGTAAAAGGTGCACCTGCCAATCCATACGACATGCGTTCAAACCGACATTGTTTCTACCCAACGACGAAACTGTCTTATCTCTGTCTCCTTATTTTATTAGCATTTGCCAGTATCCTTACTGGAGGTCTGGAACTGCAAACAGATTTTCAATTTGTAGGCTATCCATGGCTTCTGATACAGATGCCGTAGTACAAGTGTAACTGCAGAAGGCAAGACATGGAAGCAAACGTATATTGTCAGTTGACCAAACAGCTATATATATATTCTGTTGCTAATGGAGTGTTGAACTGTGGGAATATGTTAGAATAATATTATGTTTGAACACATTGTCTACATCACACCACCACATAAGGTCTTAGTTCTGTTATGCTGCTTAGCTGCCGGAAATCAGTACAGAATCTGTACTTCCCATTGGCTTTTATCACTAAAAGGACTGGAGAGCTATACGGGATGTCAGCTTCCTCAGCAATATCATCTTTTAACATCTTCACTTTTCACCAAACTTCTAAATGACATGGAACTCTTCAATTCGTAAATATTGCCATTTTCCGACCCGTCACTGGTTTTTCATGCCTCACCTTATCACAATAACCGTGAGGGTCTCCATCTCCAGTGAAGAGATGATCATATTCTCTACTAACATTGATACAGCAGGTATTTTCGACGTCTCCACCCCTATTGTCTTGCTGTTCCAATGTATGCTGGTAGGTCCATACTTTGAAGTCACAGTTCTTTCCTTCATGTTAGTTACTGTACTTACCTACCGCAGAAAATCAGCTCCAAGTACCGTTTTCCCTAATTGAGCAACAGTGATGAATGGAAAAGTTACTCGGCGTTAAGGCTGTAGTTTGACATGCCTGTGATTTTTAACACATGCCCACCTACCGTTTGAACTGTCAGTGAACATGTTCTAACCCTCTGGCACAGACTCTTATCTATTAGTGAGACTATCGCCTTTGTATCTTTAAAACATACTACTTCTTTGTCATTCAGTAGCCACTCAGAGTACATTATCCCCCTCTTGAATGCTCCAATGCTTGTAATCTTATAGGATAGCAAGGACATATATTAAATTATCTAAAATTGCTTCGTTTCTATCTTTTCGGA